AATTTGGCATGCAGATAGATGTTATGACGTAAGCATCCGCTGTGAAAGGATTTTGATAATTTCCACCCCCAAGGGGGTAAAATAGGGGATGAAAGTTTGTATGAGACTTTGTCAGTTTTAAACCGATCGGGTTGTAATTTGGCATGCAGATAGATGTTATGACGTAAGCATCCGCTGTGATAGGATTTTGATAATTTCCACCCCCAAGGGGGTAAAATAGGGGATGAAAGTTTGTATGAGACTTTGTCAGTTTTAAACCGATCAGGTTGAAATTTGGCATGCAGATAGATGTTATAACGTAAGCATCTTCTAAGAAAGAATTTTGATCATTTTCACTCCTAAGAGGGTAAAATAGGGGGTGAAAGTTCGTATGGAACTTTGTCAATTATAAAACGATCTGGTTGAAATTCGGCGTGCCGATAGATATTTTGACGTAAACATCCTCTAAGAAAGGATTTTGATCATTTCCACTCCCCAAGGGGGTAAAATAGGGGTGAAAGTTTGTATGAAACTTTGTCAGTTTTACACCGATAGGGATGAAATTCGGCATGAAAGTAGATGTTATGACGTAGGCATCTCCAAGTAAGGATTTTGATCATTTCCAACTCCAATGGGATAATGTAGGGGATGAAAGTTTGTATGAGGCTTTGTCAGTTTTACACAGATCGGGTTGAAATTCGGCGTGCAGGTAGATATTATGACGTACACGTCCCTTTAGAAAGGTTTTTGAACATTTCCACCCCAAAGTGGGTAATATAGAGGGTGAAAGTTTGTGTGATACTTTGCCAGTTTTAAACCGATCGGGCTGAGACTTTGCATGCATAAAGTTACTATGACATAGGTATCTCCTTAGAAAGGATTTTGATGAATTCCACCCCTAAGGGGATAAAATAGGGAATGATAGTTGGTGTGAAAATGGGAATGAAAATTGAATCTAGAATCATTGAATCTTTTTGAATTACATTCGGTAAAACGATGATTTGGGACCTGAGTAACGTATG